GAAGTCCCAAGTTCTAACTGTTCAGACATTTTCTTTTTAAAATCTCTGCTGTTAAAATACTTAATTGAGAAACCATATCAGTTGCCTCACTTTAGGTTCAGAAGTTCTTCTGAAGCGCATGATTCCTGGAGATGATACTTCAAAATATCATATACTTAAAAATCTCATCTTGCACGCTTGCCAAGGCAGCACACAGCCCTAAAGGCAACTGGATGGTTGACTTATCTGAACTGTAAAAGACTCATTAGCATTCCTTGAAACAGCGACAATTCCTTGGTTATTCTAAAACTACCTTAAAAACACAAAACCAACAGAGAATCCTCCTTCATGTAAGGCTATAAGCTGATTCTAAGTCTGCAGAATAAATCATGAACTTCAGATATTTTTCTGATTCATCACTAAGTTAACATACATTTCAGAACATTTAATAAATAATTTTCTGAAGCATTAATAATTATGTCTTCCCTGACACAGACTCTGAAGAGAAAAAACCCACTGTCCCAGTTTTTAAATGAAACATCTTGTGATACATAGTGAGTTAGTGAAGCACAGTCAAGCTTTAAATGTGTACAATCCTGTTTTCATCAGTAGGCAGCTATTCAGTTTCCAGCCTCTCTAAAGCATACTTTCATTATAGACTTAGCTCAGATGATTATCTTTCCCTAAGCACAGAGCTACCTTGGATTAGGTACAGTAGTCACCTCAGAAAACTCCCTCAGGTTCCTGTGTCTCCCTACAGGAGCTGCCAAGCCTTTTGTCATGCTATGACTTCCAGGAGTACATCTCAGTGTTACAGTAAGCAGAGGCCATTCTGACTCTTTCTCCCTAGCTTAGGCAATGTTCGTATACGACATAGGCTGCACGCTTTTTGAGAAGTGATCTAGTTACTCATCAGAATAGAAGTGGCATTTCTTCTCTAACTGAACCAGCAGACTACCTCAGGGTACCACTAGATGTAGTTAGATCTGGTTGCAAGCAGTGATCAGCAGAGAATCATGTGCATAGATACAATGGGGATTAGAAAAGAACCCAATTAAGAATGCAGAAAAATTCAAAGTGAAGCCACATCATAAGAAACTAAGAATTTAAAATAATTTCAAGAATCCTCATGTCTTTCATTGAGAAGAATCTCGATAAAATCCTTGAAACTTTCCGCATCATTAGTGAGTTCTGAAACAACAAGGTAATATACTGAGCAAGAACTCTTGAGTGCATTTATAAAGCTTCTCAGCTCAGAAAAGCATTACTTACTATCTATTGAGGCTATGAACCTAGTCACGCCAGCCCTCACACCACAGATATACCATGCTAAAGCAATAGCAAATGGCTGGTATCTGTAGACATTCTTAACTTTCACCAGCTTTTGAAAACACAGTGGAATATCAAAATGATAGTCACAGAGCCAACCAGAAAAAAATAACTATTAGAAGAATTAATACAGAGTACCACTGTCAGCCTCAAAGAACAACAGAAGAGGAGCATGAAAAGTATCGGTACTGTAGAAACAACACAAGTATTACCAGATACCAGTTACTCTGCCTGTGACACTTAAATGGATTTTGCTATTTTTTAAGCTGTTTACAAGAGTTCTGTCAGACAGCAACCTTCAGACTCTATACCAATTTGCCAAGTGAATAAAAAAGCCAGTTACTTGCTGTTTACAGTTATCTCATCCAGCATGAAAATAAGTGAGTGATTCATGGTTTTGGCATAGCATACAGTGCAAAATTGTTAAGGAACACAAATACTTCCATCAGACAAACCATCCCATTTCACAGGAGGCCGGTCAGAATCAGTTCTCTCATAGACATCAACTGGAAGCGTGCTGAAGTATCATTGCATCTGTTTCTGTTCTCGTTTCCTAGGTTCCCTGTGTATTTATTTAACCAATGATTTTATTACCTTGGTTTACTAAATTTCAAATGGTCCAGGTAACTTTCTAGCTTTGGTGTTAATTAGACTCACAATAAGAAGAAGAAAATTTAAATAAGAGTAAAATTATTTGTGTTAATGTGATTGTTGATGCACTAAAGTTATAGAAAGAACTACTAGACCATGTTGACTACATCTGGGATGGGAAAGTGCTACATCAGTGGGAAATACGTTTTATGCCCTCAGCTTATTTCAGGACTATTAAACCATGGATGTTCTGTAGTTATTTACACAGTTGCGTGGTGGAAGAAGCATAAATATGACATACGCCCAGATATTAGAATATTACCTTTGTGGAGGGGAAACTCTGCGCTACCAGCTTGAAAGAGTAACAAAGACTGAACAGAGAGTTCAAAAACCTTCTTCAGATGATGATCACACAAAATCTTGTAGTCTTAAACAAATAACGTGGTTCTCTCAGTAGGACTTTGCTTGATTTCAGGAGCACTAATAGCAAAGTCTGAGTTTGACCAAATATGACTAAGATCACGTGTCCTAAAAACATATTCAGTGAACAAAGATACATCTGCACAGAGGTCTTTCATTTGTAAGAGGAACGCAAATGGTTTTGTAGAAGAAAAATTCTTGTGCCTTTTGCATAAACACATCACATCAGCAGATATCTCAATTAAGTTATTTTTGTATGAAAAAATTCAAAATAAACTGGCAAGTGATAAAAAAATACCACCCTCTCCCAGATTAAAACCCCATTAATCAAGTACCTTTTTACCGCATATCTTAACAGCTTTGAGTATAGCTTAGGCAAACACGTTCTCTGCTATAAAACTATCTGAAAACATTTTTCTGATAACTTAAATAATCTACAAAATAATGTATTTTTTATTAATGGAATTTAAAAAAATAATTAAAATACCTAAATTCAATCCTTCACCTTATTGAGAGTTAAAGGACCCAGCCAGCTGAAAAAACAGGCTTGTTGTTGAATTATGTTCATTTACTGCAACCAAAATTACCACAAACTCTCACAGAAGCTTTCCGAGATGTTCCAGTTACCAAAAAACAGTCATGAGAAACTGCTCTGCTAGTAAGTTCCCAGTCAGCATCTTCTGAAAGATGGATTCTTTAGAGATGATACAAAGAAGAGAAAAAAGGTGAATTTGAGAATTGAGAACTTTACAATTATTCATGCTCTTAAACACTGCATGCTAGCCAGAGTCCCTATGCAACCTGGAACATACCTAATCGTCATGTTTATTCACACCTTAAAGGATATTTGTTTACAACATATTCTCAGCATAAATCTCTGAAGACTTCCTCCTGATTTGCACAGTATTTAATTGAATGACAGACAAAAAAGAGATGGTGGTCTTAGCTATCAGGGGAAAAAAAGACATGGTGGATTTAGCTAAGAGAAAAGGAGAGGGCAGACAACAAACAAGAAAAGAAATAACTGAACCATTTCCAGGCTAAGAATTCTTGAGTTACTGTTTTTTAACACAGACAAATGTTTGCATATAGCACAATTCATGTCCACTTGAAACAAAAAGAACAGTGCATAAGTAATTGAAACACCAACTCAAAGGAATGTCTATCAAACTCTGGATTTGGAGAGCAAAGACAACCATTTCCAAAGATCAGTGGAGGCCCATTACTAATCCGTGGGGATACTGGTTAACCCTGTTACTGCTAGTTTTTGTCTGTCACTGCTACTGACTAACAAATGAGTCTCCGAGAAATAAATCATTGTGAGTTGAAGTCATGGAGTTGCAACTGTGTGTAAGCAAGGCAAACTTTAATTGGAACTACTTGCTTCTATAAACATGTATCCCTCAGAAGAGAGGACGCTAGATAAGGAAGATATTTGTCTAGAAACATAGAAGAAAAACTTAGATAAGAACAAAGAGCTGAGGTTGTAAACCTCTTTGAGATTTTTCCCTCTCATGTAGGTGGCTACCTAATTTATTTAGGGGTAGACCAAAGAAACCAAAAATCAAGGCATGAATATTAATTTAAAGTCAACTGGAGAATGCTTAATTTTTACAAGTAGTACGGCTTAGGGTGAAAAGCAACAAACGTTTTATTCTCAGCTACACATTTCTCTGTGGTGACTCCTGCAGATGGAAAAGAACAGTTGTCAGGACCATTGCATGGAGATTCAATTATCACTGGAGTAGGAGGAAGTTCTAAGCTTCAATAAGAGAACTTTAGGTCCTCAGTGAGAGTCTTTCCATGGTCAGATCAGTATATACTCTGAGATTAAGAACAATGAAATAAAACCCGAACAAGCGTATTAGAGAGATTAATTATTTCTTTTCACACACCAGTTTCAAAACCAGGTCCAGTCATATAATAAAATCCATGTTCAACATATTCTGATTGCAGCAATTCTTTTTTTTTTTCCCATGGCAAATCACCCCCCAAACGCAGCTCCAAAACAAACGGCCTAGCGTGTAACTACAACTTCTTCATACTGCCACCTGGTGGGCTCTAGTGACAACACCACGCACGTGTAGCAAAAACGCACACGGGATTGGGATTTTCCATCTGATTTCCCCCTACCGAGAGTTCCACGCTAACCTGGAGGTTTTGTTCTCTCGCCTCTCTCCTCCATACTTTGTCTACTGAGATGCAGAAGCCATGTACCATCTTGTTTCTGTACGACTACAAAAAGTGCACCCCGTCACTCCTGGAGTAGAAAACTACGTATCACCAGTTCTGTATTTGTCAAGGTTGCACCTCTGCTCTCATGATAAAACAGACTATTAGCAACATCAGCCTTCCTCCTTACATGAAGCCTGAGTCCACTCTCATAGTTAAACTGCCTTTTGAAGTGCTGCAGTTCTAGATTAGCTAGACTTTCAAATGACCAAGTATTACCAGTTCTGGTTTTCAGGTGTGCCTTTCTTCCCTATCACGTCACTTTAGAGATTAAATGCAACTGAGAAAGGTCAATATTATTTCCGTTTTGTCTGTAAGAAAGAATTACTGTATGGATGTTTTGAAAATGGATTCTGACACAGTGAACAGCCTTGTTTTGTGATGTATATGACTTTCAGACATGATTTTTTCCTTCCTTAGATAAAAAACTAATAGAAAAATGGTTGTACCTGCATATAATCTCTCCAGCTCTTTTCTCCATCAACTTTTCTTGCTGCAAATGGACAAAATGCTCTCTGATAAAAAAAGCAAAGCAATCTTTTTCTAACATGTTCCGTTAAAAATCACTAAATAAAAAAATGAATCACACAGGCAACGTCCCACAAGCAGTAGCAGGCACCCAGGCGAACAAACAAAGCAGCTGGCAGTGACCAAGCAAATGATTTGATACAATATAAATGTCCATTAAAAACAAACCCCAAGTCAGAATTTTTCATTCCTATAAGGAAGTATCAAGAAAGAAATAATCTATTATTTGAAAATCTAAACCAAGCACCAGGAAAAAAACACCCCACACTTTCTCCCCACATAACTAGCCAGCTTGGTTGGCCACTTCAAAAATCTCATATTACTGCTAGTTAACCAACCATGTAATTCTAATTTGTTATCACAGAGCAGGTACTGCACATGCTAATTTAGGCCATCCACATGACAGGGTAATTTGTAGTTATATAATTTCATGGTAATTATAGTTGGAATTACCATGTACAAACTGGGCATTTCCAATGTAATTACCAAAAACTAGAGGCTCAGTATTGACATGATTAGTAGAACCCTTGCAAAACAAAGTATTATGTAAGGCTAACTTGGAGGTTGTTTTTCCCTCCTCCTTTAGCTTTGTAATCGAGAAAGAACAAAAGCGAAGAAAGCCGGGAGACTGAAGCCAACATTTTTTGCTGTGGGTGGCACTCACCTCCCATGAGTTGATTACAGTTGTTGTTTCTGCCCACTTCTACTTGTTATCAAGGAGGACACAATTTTTCAAATGTTACCTCTCCATCAAAGAATTTTGGTGGGTAAAAAAGTATTTTATTTTTATTTTAAACCTTAATTGTTCAATGTGAGGAGAGACACCAATGCTATTACCCTTCTTTCTGGTATATTCATTACTAGACAGTACATCATTTCTGCCTGTGTCACAGACGCAGGAACGCAGCCGTAGCTGTGTAAGACTGTGGAAAAAAGCAGCTTCAATATTTGAGACTGTGAACATGTCACTAGCTGTATCTGCCTCATCTATTTAAAAGTGGCCCAGGAATGTTAGGCTATGTAAATTCTGTAAACTCTTTTTCCTGAGTTATCTTTAGTTCACAGTTCATGGTCTCATTTGAGAGAATTAATTCAAACAAGCCTACTCACATGGTTACAGTATTTGAAGCCCAAGAGATGGTGCTGTCTTCGCATGCTGTGATGGTTAAGCCTTTGTATCAACATCTGGAAATGAACCAACGGGCACATGCAAATATGCACAGTATCAATTCAAGCATCCCAATTATATGATCAATAAAAATAAAAAATGGGAAAGTTTATAACTGTCTCAAGGCACTGAAAGACTGAACAAGAAAATTCATGACAAATAGTGAAAAAGTATTTTCAGATTATGCCTATTAGAGACAGAGATAAGATACCACGTGTGAACTTTCATTCCCATCAAAAATGAAGAAAAAAAGTTAGCATAAATGAACGTGAATGCAGTATTGAACTATTTCTCCTCCAGCTCCTCATCACATACAGGTATTCTACCATACGTAATATGATATACTGCAAATATACACCAGTGGTTGCAGCCTGTGAGCCAAAATTCATTAAGTGCACTTAGTGAAAGTCCTGAAAAACTGACAGCCAGCAAAGACTGAGGGAGCGATGAGGAAGCAGTAGCTTCTCAAAGCTACTTCAGTCAAAGTGCCTCATCCATGGATCTGTTTCTTGTACTACTAATGTGGCCCGCATTATTACAAGTAGTTTTTAATCAAAAATTAGGAAGTGGGAAAGATTATTTGTCAGTGAAGACTTTGAAAAATATCGTAATGCTCAATTTGCTTGGTACTATAAACAAAATAAATCACATGCCCTTGTAACTGAAAAAGGAAGCCAATTGGCTGGGAAGAAAATGCTACAGGAAGGACACAATTACAAATTGACAAAAGAGATCTTGCTAAGCAGTGAGCTTCCAATCAAAGGGTGGAGATAGGGGTGAAGGATGCTGTGCTGGAGGTAGTTCTGTCCTAGTTCAGTAGAACTGGATGATAGTTACAGCTGGTTTCAAAACTGACGGTTAAAAGTTGCCTGCAGCAAAACTTTTTTTCCCTACTTGCTTTATTTCTCTTAGACTTTTCCTACCTATGTGGTTTCCTTCTCCTTGCTCACACTCAACCTGCAAGGTTCCACTTCCTGGCTCCAGAAGTAGTTGCTAGTATCTTGGCAATACAACCTAGGGTGTGAAGGACAGAAAAAGGCCTATAGGCAACACTCATATTTAAGTTACTGCATAAAGGAAGAAGAAAAGAGGGAGAGTGAGCAAGAAGGTGGCAGGACATATCCTTGAGCAACCAGTTTACCAGGCCTCCAGATTGCATTTCAGCTCAGAACAGAATGTAAAAACATTCTTCAATTTTTAAACATTAAACCTATCCAGAGTGGAACTACTGCTCCAGAAGGTGGCAAACCCAATTGGTGGGGGCAGGTTTTCCCTCAGGGTTTTCACCTGCTGTGGAGTGGTTTGGGAAGTGGTGTGAGGGAAAGACCCTGGGAAGCCACCAACTGATAAAATGAAACCAACTTGGTCCAGGTGCTCTGCTGGCTATTGCATCCTTATTGGTGGCATGGAATTTCCTAACTGAGACATTAGACACAAAAAAGTAACAAACAGAGACTGCCACTTACCACGGGGTTGGGCAAAACAGAGCAAAGGGCCTTATATTTTGTGTCCTAGTCTCCCTTACTCCTAATATCCCTATTCTCTAGATCAAAAACAACAATAAAAAACTCTGTAAGTTCATCGTTGTTATGATTACAGCCCCAATTGCATTGTTTTTACATAAATCTGAATAGAAAGGAATTGAAAACCTACAAGGAAATGAAACAACAGCATCGAATGCAGGCAGACAGGAATTAACGACTCGGAGAAGCTGCACCACAGGCACTGCCATTTCCCGGCCACGCAGCAGTTGGTGTGGGGAAGCCAAAGGGGCTCCACAGAGGACAGCAAGCCCCCACGAGCAGGACAGGGCCATGCCTCTGGGAGCACCTGTCATGGCCGCCTGCCCCCTCAGGGCCTCGCCTCAGCGCCCCTGCGGGCAGGACAGGGCAGGGCAGTGATTGGCTGCCGCTCCCCATGGCGGGAAGGCCGCAGCCATGGCAACCAGCAGCCATTTCCCTTTTCCTCTGAGGCCCTCTCCCAGGCCCTCAGAGATGCAGGGCCCTGCGAGGGAGGCGGGCATGGCCTCCCCCCACCTACAGCAGGCTTTTGCTTTTAGACTTTTTCCACTCTATGCAGGCAAAAACTCCCTGGGAGATAACTGAAAGCAACGCTATAAATACAGAGTATTCCCACTGCCCCCATGCTCACAGCGCTACTACACTGCATTAACTCTTTTATTAACGTCACGTATAAACAGGAGAGACGAAAGCAAAACCAATGGGGGCAATGGCGACGCTGTTCTCGCGAACAGCACAGGGAACCGTGCAGCCTTTGAGAGAAGAACAGGCTCCAGAGGGAAGGGGAGGGCTGGAGGGGAATGGGGCTTGGGGCCTTGCACCTCTATGATTCGCCATCATGTTTCCATGCAAGCTCTTAAGGTTACAGCACCCTTTGGTGAGTCACGTCACCCGACCGTGCAGAGCTACAGCGCCCGTGTGTTACGGCAAAGCCTCCCAACCAACACCTGTGGTTGCAAAACTTGCCCTCCTGTAAACAGCACAGGCTGCCGCCCGACAGCCCCCGCGCCCTCGCTGTGCCCCCAGGCCAAACCTACACCTCCCTGCACAACAATCTGCATTCAGAGGAGGTTCACGAGTCTTGTTCAGTTTGCAGTCTTAAAATTAAAAGCATAGCAGTTACAAAAGAAATGACAGAGGCTTGTATCATCATTTCAGTCACAAAGGCCACTTCTCAATTCAGGGATGTAACGAGCCATCCAAGGAGCAGCAGTGAGGAGCTCCACACGTAGGAACTGTGTATCACCTACCGAGAGTTTGGAAAAGTGCAGTGTCTCCCCCACTGACAGAAGGAGAGGCCACCCCTATACCCAGGGAATAGGGGTATTCCTATTATGTTCCACCTTGAAGGGGAACATAAAGAAACTGCACCTGTATTCCACTTGGAAGGCTGGAAAGCTGTCAGAAGAGGAATTCATTTTCATGGTCACTGTTACCCGATTAAATTCTGTCCCTGCAGAACCACCAATCTCTAGCTAAGGGAAAAGTAAAGCTTTATTTCACACCTGAAAAGAAGAGACACATTGAAGCCGTAAAGTTCAACAAGTTTGATTGTGCCTACAAAGCTGATTAAGCAGTTATGTCAGAGTGAAACTCAGATCTCTTGACACCCAGCCCGACTACTCCCTCTTGTAGCCCATACTACCAAAGACCTGTCACTCACTGACTGATTTAAGAAACTCCCAAGCTTGTCACTACAGAAGGGCCTGGCTCCTTTGGAAGAGAGGAGCCCAAACAGCAAGCGCCTGAGTAATGCTGCTCATACTGCTATAGAAATGCTGGAAAATACCATCTGAAATCCTCACAAGGAGCTGAACAATTATCTCAGAATCCTTTGATAAGAAAACATGCTCCTTTCCTGGCAAGACTTTGCAGATACTCCTCTCTCAAAGTACTCACGCTTGAGAAATACTCTCAACAGTCAGTTTATTTTATTTCCTTTCAGCACATAGCTTGTTAGAACAATTTCAGATATTAAGCAGCTCAGCATCAAATCTACAATTCTTCATAAAAGCAAGTTCATCTGCCTCAGTATTTATCCTCTGAAGATTCTGTTCTTTCTTTTATCATCCCCCACAATGACTTTCAGCTACGTTTCCTGCGGACACCTCTTGCATAACAAGTGGAGACAGCCACCCGCTCAGATCCTGTACCTCTCCCTTTCCTGTTTATGCTACTTCTCAGAGAAAATGCCGCCCATACTGCCACAATAGGATGTTTGGTCAAAAGACCTAGCCTGTAGCAGTGGCAGAGAGCTAGGATCCA